CTTAAGGGCCACGGGTCAATAGCCCATTTGGCTTCACCTCATGGGCTATTGACCCGTAGCCCTTGCGGGCTACGGGTCTAATTGTTACTTAGTACAACTCTAGCAACCTCCTACCACGAATGGCATTCTCTGATTGGCTACACTACTCACTATCTATTCTGTGATAGATAGTGAGGAGAGTGCAAAGTGCCTTGTTAACAAAATGACGTCCGCTTCTTAGTGTTTTTGACGTGTCTGTGAAGAGGATTTAGATAAAGTTTTGAACGACTAGTAGATTTATACTAAAACAATTAGATTATTCACACTCGATTTCTATGTGTGACAGTTAATGAGCAATAGAAATCTCAAGGTCCTAGTCTAATTGTTTAATAGAAATTAATACAGGAAATCAACAGTATCATAACCAATAGTCCACAAAACCGCAATCATTAGAACAGTTGATGAAAAAGTGATCGTATGTGGTATATTTATATTATAATTTATAATACACGTAAACACATTAACACAGCATGCAGCTCATTGTGAACATTCTGGTCTCCCTTTCAATATAATTCTCCTTGCTCAACTTGTGGGAAAGTCTGACAATTCATTTGAAATTAATGATCAGTATCTCTGGGTGATGAGTTTGTTAACTTCCTACCAGTCTACTTGACAATGTGCTGGTATTGAAACTCGAGGAGAACTTAACTGCGGAACTGATGATCACTCCCAGGAAGCCTGGCAACATGACTCATTACTTCCAGATAATGGTAAGCTGCTTCTGCACAGTATTGTAGGAACAGAACATAAGTTGGAGAGTACTAGTGAAACCATGCTCGGCCTTTCAATTTGTTTTTCACCACCCCAAACCAAATTCAAGTGAATAGGAAATAACATAACCCAACAATCTTTGAAAAAATGATCAACAAACACTTGAAAAGGAACCTAGAAAATTAATGGAAAAAGACAGAGATCTACACTACCATTGCAAAAGGTGTAACTGACACAAGTAAGCATGCAAGACAAACACAACTCAAATGTAGAGTATGATCTGTAGTTCTTTAGTAGTCTCTGACAAGTCACTGAGGTCTCTTTCTTTGTCACACAACATTCAGTGTCAAGGTGGCTCCCTATAGTTTTACGATTGCACAGACACTGAGGAAGAAAGCTCAAGTAATCTGCGCGCACGCTCGAAGGAAAACGTCAGTGTTTTTGGATATTTTATGACATCAACATGAGCACAAAAAGCAAAACTGACGGTGAATTTTCTTGCGTTTCCTTCCGTGAAATTCGCACAATTTGGCAGATTGGTAGTAAATATTTTACTTCAGTTGGAGCTCGTTTTTCAGGGAAATCTATAAGACCAGGTTCTTTGCAGCAGTAAAAGACAAATTTGAAAAAACTGAAAAAACTGCCTTTACAAACCATACTTTTTTCGTGTTTAAAATTTGTATCCTGCTGGAAGCGATGTGCTGTAAAAATTTTGGAAGATTTCACTGCAGGAAATTCAAGAAAATCACAAATAAAGCCATAAAAACAGTAAAAAAACATGTTTGGGCATTTATAATTCAAGACTAAAGCCCAGAATTTTAACAGAGATGATAGCAAAACACTATTTAATTATTGGTTATTACATGTACTAATAAGTTTGAGAGGACTGGGTGTGAAAGCCAATGCAAAAACAGCATTCAAAACATAACACTTGCGTGCACAACGGCATGAATGATTACCCCATGGAGCTACCTTAAGTAACAACTTAAAATAGAAGAACAGTTGAGACAGAGGTTACTTTTTGCTTAAAAATAGACTTTGTTTAACATGAACAACAGGTTTATTTGCTTTATTTGTTTACTTTGTAAACAATAACTAGACATCTGTGTATTTTCATAAACATAGCAGAATAACACCCACTACAAGCAAAGCATTAGTTGACCCACATAATTCACCTATGTACAAAATTAACTTTTCTATCAAAAATAGGTACATTATCAATCAACTCAAAGATACTAGTCAATAATTAAAAAACATCATATGAAGTTACTCATGACACTCTCTTATCAAGTTTTATTCAGATAGGAACTGATAAAAAAATTGTTTTTTATGTATCTTACAAAGAATGCTGCATAATGTACCGTAATAAGGGCCACAATGACAATTACCACAACCAGTATTACAGTACAAAACACCCTTACTATCGGCATATAAAGCCTTTAAATTGCTCTTTGTTACAGGCCCAAATGTTACAATTTACAGTAGTTCTGCAACCAATAGCTTGTTGTAATTTTCATGGTTTTGTTAACAATAACATTGATGAAAAGCCCTTAATCTCTCAAAGGTTTATAGACATAAGTGTGACTGTGCAGACTGCAAAAGTCTTTTTTTGCATTTCAGCTGTTTTGCAGTCTAGACCCTGTGAAGACCACAGGCTATCTTGAATATCTTTAAAATTTCATCAAAACAGACTTAATTTGCATTAGCTAATTTTCCTTTGCAACATGAAACTGCTGTTACTTACTACTTACTGATGTTGTGATAACAAATGAATTAGGAAATAAATTGTTTGATACGCAATACATTGATGCTTGTTGTCAGGGAAGAACATGGTTAGAAAAGAATGTACTTTGCCTTCTGCTGCAACATGAAATAACTCCAAACAAGCTCATGACTACAGAGATGACAATATTTGGCTTAGTCAAACACCAAGCCAAATTTGTTACATGTGTTCATGCAATGGCAAGTACATGTAGAGCGACACACAAAAGGTCTAGATCATAGTAATTAGAATGTTTAGAACTAGAGACAGCTAAACTTTATCCTTGTTTGTGAGCTTTTCTATAAGTTCCTGAAGTGGAGCAAGCTCTCGCTTATCAACCAGACTGAACTCTTGAACAAAGAACATGAAGTGTTTAAACGAGGTGTTGAGATGCGCTTCCTCACCAAGTCCTACAATATGGAGAAAGTGCTGGTGGTAGATGTGAGCATATACTCTGAACAGACGCTTCAGGATTGTCTTGGCAATGGACAGGAAATTCTTTGGAAATGGAACACCTGTCATTAAAGCAAGCAAAGCAGCACTCCCTTTACATTTAATAATACTACAAGACAATAATCCTGTACATTATATCTATTTCAGGCAAACAAAAATGTCAAACGGCTACCAAGTGTATCCCTGCAAGTCATCAGCAATGAGTGATTTGAAAATAACTAGCAGCAGAATTCTGGACACTCAGTGTCACTCACCAATTTTTGATGGGAATAGTGTCTCATCATCCAGCTGATCCTGTACCCAAGTCATTAGATAGTCAATGTATTTTGGTGCTGAACATTTAATTGGTTTCTTGATTGTTGTTCCATCCGCCCAGTGGTATTCATATCTAAGAGGAAAAAGCAAGTCAGTCTTCAAATAAAGTAGATGTTTCAACTTCTATAGACACATTTGGGTTGCACATCAGAGAGATTTACTCAGAGAGCTACGCCAAAGATGTTACATTTTGAATATGAAGTTTCTTGCTTGTAAATAATTACCAGTATGCATCTTAGCCATCTTTGTCCTGTTCTGGTTTATTACCACACCCAAATTGGGTTATTCCAGAAAAAATACACACCCACCCCCCCGATGGATGGCAAACTGGAAATTCTCACAGGAGGGGGGGGTGATGGCTCGGGAAATCCGGGCAGGAGGGGGGGATCTGAACCTAAAAATTCTTCCTTGGGAGTCACTTTTAACTTTAACCTTGATCGATATATTTTAACCACTTAAAAAAAGAACTTTGCAATAGGAAATCTCGTAGTTTTTCAGTTTATAGTGCTCTTACCTCATATGATTTAAGTTTACCTTCATAGGTTCTGTTAATCATACAGAACCAACACAATAAATGGATAACACCATCGACTGAGTACGCAATGCCTGGAACATTTTTACAGTACCCAGGCCACCTGTGCCTGTGCTTTGTAACATCCTCAAAAATGCGACGAAAAGACGATTAGGCTGGGAGTCAGTTGTACTTTTCTGTTTTATTCAGGCAACCCAAGAACTC